TGTATTCGTCTATATTGATCTTGCAATGATATTGAAACTTTAAGGTATACGTATATGCTTCTTCGTATGAGTAACTTGATTACTCACCTTAGTGGTTTGGGTTGTTTTTCAGGTAAGGAGACTATGTTCTTGGATGCTCATCATCCTTAGAGGCTTATGAGCAATTTGGAACATTTTTGTATATTGACATGCAAGTGTTTATCATGCTTTACTTTTGATGTTATATTTTTGCATACCATGGATGTATGGTATTTTTGAAGCTAATGTAGCTACTTTGATAAGTAATGATACTTAAGTCTTTAATTTTGACATTATAAGCATGTAAATAAAGAGGCCAAGGCCAAGCATGTTTACTTTAGCACTTGTGTTCATTTGGTACCAACTTTTGCTATAAAAATGTACTTTTACCAATTTTGGAGGTTTAGTGTATGAAGATCTTGTAAAGAACATGTATGAGGCTAGGAGCCATTATTTTTACATTCAAATATGTATATGAAGTTGTTGATATGTTCACCTACTCAAATCTCATTGGAAATCACATTTAAACTTTCATTTTTAATCCATTACATGAGGGGATTTGAAGCATGGGTTGAACCTTTACACACTTGGCACATAGCAGGTCTTACAGCAGGTTTTTGAGGTGTTTTGGTTGATCGACACTCCATTTCGGTCAATCGATGGCCTTTGGTAACATCAATGCACAGTAAACATTCAATTCCAGTAGCCATTTTTACTGTTCAAAACCATTTCAGTCAATCGATGGCCCATTTCGGTCGACCGATGGTTCATTTCGGTCTACCAAACCAACCTCACCTTAAAATTGGGATTTCAGCAGAGTTTTTGTCCAATTTGGTCGATTAAAACTCTATTTCGGTCGACCGAAATAGCTTGTTTGCATGCAGCTCCTCTGTTGTGTTTCAGCACTGAAGTTCCAACTTCAAAAGGTCATAACTCCTTCATTCCAAATCCAAATAGGGTGATTCTTAAGCCTAAACTCAAGGATTTTGAGTCAGATTTCCAATGGTACCTAGTCTATTCTCAGATTCCAATCATAGTGGGATTTATTCATATTTTAGTGAGGTAGTGTTAGTTTTCGCTTAAACCAGGAAAAGGCATTTTGTGGGATTCTTGTTCAAAGTTCTTAGAATCTCTTGGAATATTGTGAAATGATTAGATTAGGTTGTATTCACCTTGTTTGACTTGTTTAGAGTCAATTTTCTTCTTTTATTTGTGAATTGACCGTTTTGCCCTTCATTATTGAATTTTGCCCGTTTTAACTCTAGTTTCCTCTTTTACTTTTCTTTAACTTCTGTGACCTCATGGAATGTCACATTGGTGGAATAGAGATGATTTATATCTCAAAGGACTATGGTTTCATCTTTTGCTTCCGCATTTCGAATTCGTTATTGGGTTAACTTTCGGGTTATCACGGACGCATCGGGTTGAAAAACACGGGTCACGACACCTCCTTTTTAGGCCAAAATTTTACCCTTTACGATTAATCGCTCCTTAGTGCGATCGATTGCACCTGGAACCACTTTTTTTGCCTTCATCATTCATAAATTTAACAACCGATCGCACCTGAAGTGCGATCGATCGTACGTGTGCACATTTTTGGCAATTTTTTGTAGAACTTTGGAATTTCATATCTTTTTCGCTCTAACTTCAAATCAAGTGATTTTTTAGTCTAAGTTTATTAATTTTTCGTTGTCTATCCAATGGTATGCACGGTAGCATCCATTTATGTTTTAAATGACCATTTTACCTAGTGGCATTCTTGTCCGTTTTTAAATCTTAGCTTCCGCATTTATTTCTTTTTTGTGTCTCGTGACTTCTCGAAAGGTCACTTTGGTGTCTTAGATGTGGTGTCCATCTCTAGAGACCTCTTCACTTGTTCTTGCTTCTGCATTTGGGACTCGTTATCTGGTTAGTTTTCGGTTTACTCGCTGACGCATTGGGTTCTTTGAAATTCGGGCCGTCACACAACTAGACTAGGACTTGTTTTATTAACAATAATTGGCAATTACAAAATTTATATCTTATAATCTCCCCCTTTGGTAATTTCGTGACAAAACCCTAAAAATATTTAAGCAATCTACCCAAGCAAAAAAGTAAATTACAATTTTGTTCAAAGGAAAACACGAAATTTTATCTCTGTTCTCTTCTCTTCTTGGAGAAACAATTTGACCTGATTTCCTGCACAATATCTAGGAAAACTACCAGTGAAGTTTAATAAATAAAATTTATAAAAACTCCCTCTTAAATAAATATCCAATTATCTTTCAAATTACTCCTTCTGAAAATAACATTGTTGTCCTCCTTTTTGGAACAAATTGACAAAGAATATAATTGCAAAGCAGAAAGAAACAAGAGAAATAGATTAATTTAGTTTAACATGTCATTTAAACATATAAGTTAATATCCAAAAGTAACGACCATGTTAGACAAAAGTATGATGTCATGATGTATGATAAATAAACACAAAAATGTCAGCATCATTATCTCCCCAAATAGAAAGTCATCAATACTATAATCTTCACCACTCTCATCATCCTTATCCTCATCCTCATCCCCATCTGAATACTCAGCACCATCATCCTCAGCTCTCAAAGATGGATCTAGAGGTGTAAACATCTTCTGAAGAACCTCCTGGTTGCTGTCCTCTAAGTTGTTCCATATAAACCTTGAGATCTCATATCTTATCCATCATCCTATTAAACATAGTAGTCTGATAGTGAAGAAGAAGAGAACACATCATGTTTGCATCAGCTCTACAAAATTTTCCTTTGGGAGGAAATAACAGTATAACCTCCGGAGCCTGTGAAGAACCCTCATCAGCGCCTCTCCGAGTCTTTTAGCATTCTACCTAGCTGATTTGGACTTATTCAGAGCCTGAGTGTCTAACTTAGTCACAATGCGCTGATGGTATGTTCTTGGAGGAATCTGAACATTCTTGAGCTTGTAGAAATTTATGATTATCATTAGAAAAGGAGATGATCGAATTGCGACGCGAGTTCTTTTTGTAATGAGCCATCACTAACTGCATAATGGATGGTGCAAGTTGTATGTGCTCATCTATAGTAAGAAAGTATAGAACTTGTGCTCGCTCGAGAGTGGTCTCGTCCTTCTTGGAAATATCCCATATTAGCCATAGCGAACAAATTGAAGAACACCGCTATTAGAAAATGAGATAGAATACTATCTTCATTCCTTGGAGTATTCGAAACACAAATTTTTAAAGCAATTCGGGATAATTCTGGGCCCGAGACTTCCAATGGTAATACTTGTCCCGTCATCTTATCTCTATCAAGAATGTCCAAGATGGCTTAAATGGCTTCTTCATCAACCATATAATCAATTCCAAAGAGCAACACAATGAAGTATGTATCCTTAAGCTTTCGAATATTGACATAAAAATAATGTACCATATTCGGTGAAAAGTAGCTTTTACATAGATTGGTAAAGAAAAGCCATTTGTTCTTCTCAATGTATATCACAAGCTTCTTTCCAGCTATGCCACAAAGCTTTTGTAGATTCACATTCCTTTCAGTCTTAATCGGACCATCCTTGTAGGTGTCAACATAAGCTTTCCAAGCAAGATCATTGTAGAAGTATGCTTCTTCAAACTTAATTCTTCCCGTGCTTGAAACAGAAGGAGAAACAATTGGTTCCTCTCGTGACGGAGAGTCAGTTGCCATAGAAATGGAAGAGGTGTCTACGTACTCGGCCTCCGTGGTGGAGTCTGCAATGCAATGCAAGATTGCTTCATAACTATCATCGGAAAGCCATCGGCGTTCTATAACAAAGGGGGCAAGTTGTTCAGTTTTGGAAGTACTATGAATGACTTGCTCTTTTTTTTTTTTGTTCTGGGGTATTTTGCTCATTTGTTGAAAGTCCAGAGGGGTATTTCACACTTTTGCCTTATTATTATTTGGGCAAGGAGTCAAAGTGGAACTTTCAATAAGAGATGTATATATTTGTAATGTAAGCAAATTTGGGAGTCAAAATTTGACAATAGAGTTGTTATTTTTTTTTTTTAATCTCGAGTCTCGATTTTTTGAATTTGAAGCGCAAGTGCCTCTTATCGTTGAATCCATTGAGAACATCATTTAGTGAGTGAGGAACACTTGTATCTTTAAAGTTGGGTATAAGAGCTTAGGTTGGAAATATGACATTCAACAAAGTCCAACCGGTTGCATTTCGATTAATTTAGAACCTGTTGCATTTCTTACACAAAATCAGCTCTCAGGACAAGTAGAACTGGTTACACTTTTCTAGCCGGTTTCACTTTTAAGTAGACTACTTGTATTTGCCTGCGAAAAATCGGTAACTTTTTAGTTTTATTTTTTTTCCAATCTTGTAGGTTAGTCATTGCATGATTTTAAAAACTCTTTTTTACATATTGTAAAGACTCTCTACTATATATATAACATCTTCCACAAACCCTAGAGAGATTAGAGCTTTTGATTGTTCCAATTGGAACAATAAGGGTTTTCATCTTTTACCCATCCTTTGATCAAAAACCCTAATTCTCAAAAACGTGTTCAAAAGCAAGCGTAATAGACATTAAAGAAAAGCTTGGTAGGTTCCTGTTGTTTGGATGTAAAATATTTTTTGTTAAAAATAAAAAAATAAAAAAATTATTTTTTTATTTTTTCGTGTTTAATTGTCCAAAATTTAAATAAAATATTTTATAAAAAGCTAACAAAAATATTTTAAATAAATATTTTTTCGTGTTTAGTTGTCCAATACAAGTTCTAAATACCTTTGCGGAACACCTAAAAATTAAAAGAAAAAAATATTTTACTTAAAAAAAATTTAATAAAAAATAATTTTTGAAAAAGATATTTTACGTGGATACATTAATTAATATGGAATAACTTACAACAATCTTTTCAAACTGTTTCTAATCTCTCCTTTTATTTCTTTTTCTGAAATCCTTCAGAGCCTACAAATTCATCAACCCAGAAAAGGGTAAGTTAATTTATTTTGAGCAAAACCATAAAAGTACGTGATCACACAATAATCTCCAATTAATTAATTCACAATCTCAACGGGCTCGAAACCATTGGCGATCGATCCCTTGACTGCATCAAGAACCAATTGTGTCTTTCTACTGAGGGTTGGCCACTTCTTCTCCGGCTTCAAGCCATTACTCTTAATACCATTAACCAGAGTAGCAAATTCTGTCACCATGAGAGCTTCCTGAGGAAGATCGGTCGTGACAATGTGCTCACCCGGTATCGGTTCACAGCCTAGAGCGCGTTCCCCAAACTTGGAATTCGAAGCTATGAAAAATGTCCCAACATTCTCTTGAAAAGGACCAGCAAAGTCATGAACACGCAAATAACCCTTTGTTCCGAGAGCAGTTAGGTCCATGCTAAAATTGGTAAGGAAAGAGCAATAGAAGGTTGCTATTCTCCCGTCCTCCCACCAAAGAGAAGCTCCGCATGATAGAATCACCCCTGCTTCGTTGAAGTCCGGTTCGCGCAAAGCTGTTACTGTTTTGGGCAGGTCATAGTCTGCAGCCCAAAGACTTGCCCTGATGCAGTACCATCCAGCATCACCAAGAGCTCCATAAGCATCGAGATCAGGCTTCACGCGAATGTCATTTTTGAGAAAGTCTGCGCCAGCATCGTATGTGAAGGAGGTGTGTAACTGTGGAAATAAAAAATAATCATACTCGTGTACTGTGCAGTCCAAAGTAAACTGATCCACTATGTTTGAAACAAAGTACACTGAACTTTGGCTCTGGCTCACACCCAATCGTTCTATCAAATACCAATAGCTGACAATCCTCTGGCTTTGCGACGTACCATCCAACAGCAACTTGACCTCAGGCTTATGCTTGATCTTTGTAGAAGAGTAACAGGTAGATCAAACAGCACTTCACGAATGCTTTGACCCTTTCAAAGTGTGATTGTTTTTACTTCTGTTCTTCAATATTTGAATTTTATGTAAAACTAGATATGTTTTTCTTTAATCATCGTAGATGCAACTGTATGATCACAATCAAGATTTGAACAAAACTCTTAAACTCACTATGTGTTTATGTGTGTGTTCTAGAAAGACTGAAAAAAATCTCTTGGATTTTCTGCAAAATAATATTCCTGAGGCTTTTATGAATAATGACGTTGTAGTGCAAAAGCCGCCAATAAACCCAAATGGCTATCAGGGTTTATATATAATTTACAATGACCTAATCCCTCTGAAAATATAGGAAATTTCGTGCATAAGACTTGGTACAATTATAAACCAACTAGGAAAGAAATCAAAACAGGATTGCAAGTTTTCAAAAACCTGTAACAAACCCTTAAACCGGTTCAAGAAAGGCTGAACTGGTTCAAGTATGGAAGAATGAATTTGAGGCCAAACTTGAAGGGCTTGAACTAGTTCAGAAAAGCTTGAACTGGTTCAAGTCTATCAAACTTGAATCCAAAGGCTGAACTTGGTAAAAAATACTATTTTGGAAATTTCTGAAAATATACCAAGTATGGAATGTGTCATAACCTTTTTAGATTTCTTTCTAAAGTGTTGTTCTTTCCTTTCTTGATGATTCCAGCTATGGTGTATTTGAAAAACCTTCATTCCGTAGTCACTGTCCATCCCGATATGGTAACTTGAACAACTTGTGATGATCGTGTAATCTTTGTCCTTTTTTCGACATTCAAAATTGTTTTATTTAATTATTTAATTGTTTATTTTATTCATTTATTTGTTCATTTCTTTTCTTGTTGCCTTAGGGTTTTGTGTTCGGAAATGTTTTTTGAGATCGCATGCATTCACTTTAATTTAATTTATTATTAATGCCTAATTAAATTGTGTAAAAAAGCATGCTTGTTTAATTTCATTTCCTAAGGGTATGAATGCATAACTTCTTTAGAAATATTTTTATTTTTCGGGGTTATTTGTGCAATTAACTTTTTAAGATATTTTGTCTTAGGGATCTTTTTACAATTATTTTTGTGAGATATTTAGAACAGAAACCATTTTGTAATTTTTGAAAAGTGTGACAAGTGTCACCTTTTCCTTGGACCATTTGTTGACTTTTGGTTGGAGACACTTGGAAGTTTAGGATTGTAACAAGTGTAAGGTGTAGATTTAACCTAGTGAGGGTGCATTGGATGGTGACAAGTGGAGGGGTGTGATGTGTGTGTGTATGAGAGAGGTAGTGTTAATATAGTATTTGTGACTATCAACTTCATTAGTTAGTGGAAATTCTAGTAAAATCACTTTGTCTTCCTCACCTTTCACCTAAGCCACCATTGAAGCTTGAATCTAACCCTCTTCCACTAAGCTTTTGGTTTTGCACTTGGAAGACAAAAGCTTCCCCTCACCTTCCTTTAGAACACCTTGTCTTGGATTCCATTTTTGCTTCCATTTTTCCTTGGTTTCTAGAGATACAATTCTCTAGTGAAGTAGGGGGTGTTTTATGTTTATTTCCTAAGTGTTTATTGTGTTCTTTGAAGTTAATATACATTGTATGCATGTCATTTAAATTCTAGGGTTGCATATAGATGAATATTGTATATATCTAACCTAGGGTTTTATATTGTTCAAGGCTTTTATATGATGTATCTATTGTATAGTTGTTATTTCATTTGGTGTAAAATTAAATTCTAGTAATATCTTGTTGTTGTAACTATTAAATTCTAGAATGATTCTTGCCAACAACTATGTTGTGAAATTATTACTATGTTGTTGTTTAAATCAAGGATTTGAGGTTTACTATGTTAGTATGAATGGATTTCCTAATTTGACAACCTTATAGTAACATAGTTGTATTCACATTGTGAACTTGACATTGCAAATGCCATTGTAGCTTAAAGACTTAAAGTATGGTTTGTGTGGTTTCAAATATTGGATGTGCATTCGAAGGTGGTTAAATGCATTGTACACCTATATGGTTGTTGTGACACTATTATTGGTTTTGGAAATACTTAGGACATTAGTTTCGTGACATGGCTAGAGTATGACTCTAGTGCGGGAGGTACGAGTTCTTCCCAAAATAGTACGTACTTAGGTAGTTCCTTGCGGGTTAGTAGCCCAAAACAACTAATTGTCTTGGTTGTGATGTTCATAACGAGATACCGTGTCCAAGATATTCCTATTGTTTGATTTCACGTTTCATTTTCCAAGTTGACATTACTTTGTGACTGTAACTTGTTGTTTTACAATGGATGTTCCAATATTGTTCAAATGCAGTACTTGTTGTTTTTCATTGGATGTTCCAATATCGTTAAGTATGTTACCTATTGTGAAATGCTTTCAAAATGTTCCAAATATAGCTTTAGAATGATCCCTTAGCTTCCCTTTGAAACTAGACATTAGGAGGCATAATCCACATGTGTTTATTTATATTACACTTGCAAAAAACCATTGAAACTTTAAGGTATACACATACACATCATCCTACTGAGTAATTTGATTACTCACCCTAGTTGATTATTGTTTTTCAGGCAAGGAGACACTCATTTTGGATGCGAACCATCTATAGCTCGGCTTGTATTTACATCTTGAACATGTTTTGTATATTTTTGGCATGCTAGTGTTAGCATGATATAGTTGTCTTTTGAAGTTGACAATGTGTAATGTAATTAGAAGCATGCTTTGCTTCCTCTTTTGGGTGTGTAATCTGTATTTAAACATTCTCTTTTGGTGTAATTTAACGTGTGTGTAATGAGGCCAAGGGCTAAGCACTTTAAAGTATGCAAAGTATTTCATTTTATAACATGTTTTTCTTTCTTTGGTATTGCATGCACTTGGGGGCATTTTCATCATTTCACTTCGCTTTTTATTCTTGGTTTGGACCATGATTGACATTAGAATCACATTTGGATAGGGGTTGCTTCAAAAACTTTTCCCAAAAAGTCCCATTTACCCCTTGAATTTCAAAATTTTCAAAAATTTTCAGGTTGCTGCCCATCGATTGTGATCCATCACGATTGGTCACAAATAGTTGCGATCGATATGAATTTTTCACTTTTTCCATCGTTTGTTGACCTTACGATCGATCGCACCTGGGCATCTCATTTTTAGGCCAAAAATTTACCCTTTATGATTAATCGTTCTTTAGTGCGATCGATCGCACCTGGAACCAATTTTTTAGCCTTCATCGTTCGTAAATTTTACGACCGATCACACCTATGCACATTTTTGGCAATTTTTTGTAAAATTTTGGAATTTCATATCTTTTTCGTTCGAACTCCTAATCAAGTGATTTTTAAGTCTAAGTTTATTAATTTTTTGTTGCCTATCCAATGGTATGCATGGTAGCATCCATTTCTATTTTAAATGACCATTTTACCCCTAGTGGCATTCTTGTCCGTTTTTAAATCTTAGCTTTTGCATTTGTTTCTTTTTTGAGTCTCGTGACTTCTCGGGAGGTCACTTTGGCGTCTTAGAGGTGGTGTCCATCTCTAGAGACCTCTTCTCTTTTTCTTACTTCCGCGTTTGGGACACGTTATAGGGTTAGTTTTCTGTTTTCTCGCTGACGCGTCGGGTTCTTTGAAATTCGAGCCGTCACATAACTCAAGACTTGTTTTGTTCACGATAATTGCCAATTATAGAATTTATATTTCACAATCTCACCCTTTGGTAATTTTGTGACAAAAACCTAAAAACATTTAAGCAATCTACCCAAGCAGAAAAGTAAATTACAATTTTGTTCAAAAGAAAACACGAAATTTTATCTCTATTCTCTTCTTTTCTTGGATAAACGATTTAACCTGATTTCCTGCACAATATCAAGGAAAACTAACAATGAAGTTTAACAAATAAATTTATAAAAACTCCCCCTTAAATAAATATCCAATTATCTTTCAAATTACTCCCCTTGAAAATAACATTGTTATCCCCTTTTTTGGAACAAATTGACAAAGAATATAATGGCAGAGTAGAGAGAAACAAGAGAAATAGATTAATTCAGTTAAACATGTCATTTAAACATATAAGTTAATATCCAAAAGTAATGACCATGTTAAATAAAAGTATGATGTCATGATGTATGAGAAATAAACAAAAAAAAAAAAAAAAATGTCAGCATCATTATCTCCCTAAACAGAAAGTCAGTAAGTCATCAATACTCTAATCTTCACCACTTTCATCATCCTCATCCTCATCCTTATCCCCATCTGAATACTCAGCACCATCATCCTTATCTCTCAAAGATGGATTTGGTGGTGTAGGCTGGTAAACATCCTCTGAAGAACCTCCTGATTGCTGTCCTCTAAGCTGTCCCATTTGAACCTTGAGATCTTATATCTTATCCATCATCCTATCAAACATAGTAGTCTGATGCTGAAGAAGAAGAGAGTACATCATGTTTGCATCAGCTCTAAAAAAATTTCCTTTGGGAGGAAATAGCTGTGTAACCTCTGGAGCCTGTGATGAACCCTCATCAGCACCTCTCTGAGCCTTTCTAGCATTCTCCCTAGCTGATTTGGACTTATTCAGTGCACGAGTGTCTAACTCAGTCATAATACGCTGATGTTATGCTCTTGGAGGAATCTGAATATTCTTGAGCTTATAGAAATTCATAATTATCATTAGAAAAGGAGATGATCAAATTGCGATGCAAGTTCTTTTTGTAATGAGCCATCATTAACTGCATAATGAATGGTGCAAGTTGTATGTGCTCATCTATAGCAAGAAAGTATAGAACATGTGCTCGCTCGAGAGTGATCTTGTCCTTTTTGGAAATGTCCCAGATTAGCCATAGCGAACAAATTGAAGAACACCGCTTCATCTGTTAGAAAACGAGTTAGAATACTATCTTCATTCCTTGAAGTATTCGGAACACAATAATTCAGGGTAATTCTGGACCTGAGACTTCCAATGGTAATACTTGTCCCGTCATCTTATCTCTATCAGGAATGTCCAAAATGGCTTGAATGGCTTCTTCATCAACCATATAATCAATTCCAAAGAGCGACACAATGAAGAATGTATCCTTAAGCTTTTGAATATTGACAAAAAATAATGTACCATATCCAAAGAAAAGTAGCTTTTACCGAGCTTGGTAAAGAAAAGCCATTTGTTCTTCTCAATGTATGTCACAAGCTTCTGTCCAGCTGTACCACGAAGCTTTTGTAGATTCACATTCCTTTCAGTCTTATTCGGACTATCCTTGTAGATGTCAACATAAGCTTTCCAAGCAAGATCATTATAGAAGTGTGCTTCTTCAAACTCAATTCTTCCCGTGCTTGAAATAGAAGGATAAGCAATTGGTTCCTCTTATGACGGAGAGTCAGTTGCCATAGGAATGGAAGAGGTGTCTACGTACTCGGCCTCCATGGTAGAGTCTGCAATGCAATGCAAGATTGGAGAAGCTGCTACGTACTCGGTCTCCATGGTGGAGTCTGTAATGCAAGATTGCTTCACAACTATCATTGGAAAGCCATCAGCGGTCTCTACAAAGGGGGCAAGTTGTTCAATTTTGGAAGTACTATGAGTGACTTGCTCATTTTTTTTGTTCAGGGGGTATTTTGCTCATTTGTTGAAAGTCCAGTAAAGTATTTCACACTTTTGCCTTATTATTATTTAGGCAAGGATTTAAAGTGGAACTTTCAATAAGAGATATATTTGTAATGTTAGCAAATTTTGGAGTCAAAATTTGACGATAGAGTTGTAATATTTTTTTAATCTGGAGTCTCAATTTTTTGAATTTGAAGCGCAAGTGCCTCTTACCGTTGAATCCGTTGAGAATATCATTTAGTGAGTGAGGAACACTTGTGAGTATCTTTAAAGTCGGGTATAAGAGCTTAGGTTGGAAATATAACATTCAACAATGTCCAACCAGTTGCATTTCGATCAATTTAGAACTTGTTGCATTTCTTACACAAAATCAACTCTCGGGACAAATAGAACCGGTTACACTTTTCTAGCCGATTTCACTTTGAAGTAGACCAGTTGTATTTGCCTGCGAAAAATCGGCAACTTTTTAGTTTTATATTTTTTCCAAACTTATAAGTTAGTCATTGCATGATTTTAAAATCTCTTTTTGACATATTGTAAAGATTCTCTACTATATATATAACATCTTCCACAAACCCTAGAGAGATTAGAGCGTTTGATTGTTTTAATTGGAACAATAAGGGCTTTCATCTTTTACCCATCCTTTGATTCAAAACCCTATTGTTTCAACAATAAGTGTTTTCATCTTTTACCCATCCTTTGATCAAAAACCCTAATTCTCAAAAACGTGTTCAAAAGCAAGCAAAATAGACGTTAAAGAAAAGCTTGGTAAGCTCTTGTTGTTTGGATGTAAAATATTTAAAATTATTATTTTTTTCTTGTTTAATTCTCCAAAATTTAAATAAAATATTTAATAAAAAGCTAACAAAAATATTTTAAATAAAATACTTTTTCTTGTTTAGTTGTCCAATATAAGTTCTAATTTTTTTTTCAAGACCTTTGCCGAACGCCTAAAATTTAAAAGAAAAAAATATTTTACTCAAAGAAGTTTTAATAAAAAATAATTTTTGAAAAAGATATTTTACGTGGATTAATCCGAATCACATACAACAATCTTTTCAAATGTTTCTAATCTTTCCTTTTTGTTTCTTTTTCTGAAATCCTTCAGAGCCTACAAATTCATCAAACCCGAAAAGCACAGGTTCATTTATTTTGAGCAAACCATTCAAAGTCCAAAACCATGGTCCAAGCACTACAGTATCAATAATGTAATAGTAGTATAAAAACTGCAGCCTGCAAAACAAGTACGTGATCACACAATTATCTCCAATTAATTAATTCACAATCTCAACGGGCTCGAAACCCTTGGCGATCGATCCCTTGACTGCATCAAGAACCAATTGTGTCTTTCTACTGAGGGTTGGCCACTTCTTGACTGCATCAAGAACCAATTGTGTCTTTCTACTGAGGGTTGGCCACTTCTTCTCCGGCTTCAAGCCATTACTCTTAATACCATTAACCAGAGTAGCAAATTCTGTCACCATGAGAGCTTCCTGAGGAAGATCGGTCGTGACAATGTGCTCACCCGGTATCGGTTCACAGCCTAGAGCGCGTTCCCCAAACTTGGAATTCGAAGCTATGAAAAATGTCCCAACATTCTCTTGAAAAGGACCAGCAAAGTCATGAACACGCAAATAACCCTTTGTTCCGAGAGCAGTTAGGTCCATGCTAAAATTGGTAAGGAAAGAGCAATAGAAGGTTGCTATTCTCCCGTCCTCCCACCAAAGAGAAGCTCCGCATGATAGAATCACCCCTGCTTCGTTGAAGTCCGGTTCGCGCAAAGCTGTTACTGTTTTGGGCAGGTCATAGTCTGCAGCCCAAAGACTTGCCCTGATGCAGTACCATCCAGCATCACCAAGAGCTCCATAAGCATCGAGATCAGGCTTCACGCGAATGTCATTTTTGAGAAAGTCTGCGCCAGCATCGTATGTGAAGGAGGTGTGTAACTGTGGAAATAAAAAATAATCATCTTCGGACAATCCCAGAATGCAGAGGAAATGATAGCTTAAAATTGAGCTAGCGTGAGAGAGAAGAATTGAAGCACAAAACGTGTTTGCTAAGCTATTGGTGGCTTATTTGTTTTCATTATACATCATCCACATATAATTAATAGAATTTTTTTTTACAGTGGCAGAGATCAAATGGTAAACTAGACCTTCCAAGAAATATGAAATGCAGTCATAAGCGAGAAGGCTATCATTTCAGTCTCGTCCATTACACAAACTATTTGACAATTTTGAATTTTTGACAGCACGAAACAGGACAACCAAAAAAAAATAAAAAATAATACTAATAATAATAAAACTAAAATAAAAAAATAGAACAAAACCGCAACTGTTGAAATGCAAACCGTGTTATCATTTTATACACCAAAAACGTTATCATTTTATACACCAAAAACATGTTTATTTACAACACTCTGTTCTCATGTTTATCATTTCTTAGGGATCAATGTTTGATGCGATTCTAGAAGTCAGATTCACGAATTCACGAACCGATATAAGAACAACCACTTTGTGAAAAAAAAAAAAAAAATCGTCTCACTTTTCAGGATCAAGCGATTGATACCAAAAAAATCCCCAAATATCAAAAATCAAAATATGACAAATTCAATCAATTTGAAGTGACTGAAAAATAAATAAATAAATCAACCAAAACATAAATTTATTATTTTACATTCCAAAGTAAAAAAAGTTATTAGATAGTACCGGGTCAATCACTAATTGACACCCATACGGCAACAAGGTCAACTGCAATTAGTAATTGATCCGCACCATACAATAATTTTTCGGGAATTAGTGATCGAAAATTAAATGAGTTAAATTCATCAAATTAAGAAAAATAACAAATAATAAAACAAGTAAATGAGTGTGTGTAGACATACCGATTTGAGTTTTCCGAAATGGAGCTTATCTGAGATAAATTCTGTCATCTTAGCCGTCCGAGGATGATGCATCCACATGGTGGCGTCCATGAACTGCACACCGTTGGATTCGCATGCCTCAAGGATCGTGTCCAGCTCCGTCACGTGCAAAGCCACCGGCTTCTCCAGCAGCACGTGCTTCTTCTTCTCGGCGGCCAAGACCGCCCAGCGCACGTGCAGGCTGGTCGGGAGTGGCACATACACAACGTCCACCTCTGGGTCATCCAGCACGGCCTCGTAGCTGCCGTACAATTTAGCCGACGCCGGGAAGCCGTTCTCGGCAGCGTATCTCGAGGCTTTTTCGATCGAACGGCTGCCGATGGCCCAGATGGTGGCGTTGGGCGCGAGCGTAATGGCCTTCGATACCTTGCGTGCTATGTTAGCGCAGCCCAATATTCCGAAACGTACCGTGGTTTCGGCCATTTTTTTTTTTGTTTTTTTACTCTTAACTTTTTTCCCAGGCTGTGAGAAAGCAATACGAAAGAGATATTACTCCAATTCTTGAAATTTTTATAGAAAATGTGCCGGCGATGGTTTACAAAAACCAGAAAGTCATATGCATAGTTGAGTGTTTGACTGGAGTGGTACCAGAAAGAGAAACATTGAGCCACACACGATATAACACCTGTGAACCAAGAAGAATTGCTTTTGTCGTCTTTGAAAAGTCACGCGTGATTAAATCAGGCTGGTTATATGAATCTTAACCCGCCGCGGATTCGTAGGATTAGATTGGATTGAATTTTATCAAAATTATCTATTACTGTTTTTATAATTACTATTATTTAGTATTTATTTATTTTTTAACCATATCTCAATAGATAAAAATTTAATTTATTAATATTAATTTAAATAGATAAAAAATTAATTTATTAATATTAATTTAAATATTTAAATAATTATTAACTAATACTCCATGCGTTTCAAAGTTAGTGTCATGCTTTTCTTTTTTGTCTGTCCCAAAATAAGTGTTCATTTTTCATTTTCAAACAATATATTTCACATCATTCCAAAAATGTCTTTTGAGTTTAAATTTCAAACTTCAATATTCAAAACTTAAAAGGACAACTTGGTAATTTTTTAGGCAAACAATACATGGTCCCACATGTTCCCTTAAAAATTACCACTCCGCATAAGTGACACTTATATTGGGACAGAGGGAGTACATCACTAAAGTCCATTAAATTATCATTAATTTTATTTTTTTTATTTATTTATTTTCAAGGGAAAAGGGTTAGATATTAGATTAGTAAATGCAGAGAGTCGAAGAATGACACTCCAAAGTCTACTGGAGGCACTAATCCACTGGGTTATCGAGTCATCTGCTTTAATTATCATTAACAATGAAGCCCTTTAACCTAACAAAAGTGACCTTGGAACTCTCCATTTACAGAAATGATGAAAAATAGGGCAGTGATACAGGCTCTAACCCAATCAATAAAGGTAGTTTATGCTAGATAATTGCTTTCATGTGCTAAAACTTGCAATTTCAAGACCTTGATAGGCCATGCCTAGGGAAGATGGCTCATATCACACCCTAGTTTAGGTGGATGAGCCATGCCAACCGCAGATGGGTTATACTTAGTCTTGAGTTGCATGAATTTCTGAAAAATTATTATAGTCGTTAATTGTGATACCCCCGGATTTCTGAATGCGGGTTGGCCAGGCCCATGCCTGAATACCCGAGGATATCAAAAACAAATCGGTAATAATCGAACACAGAATACAAATATGATAAATAAGAATAACTAAAATGCTGAAAAAAAACTAAAATGATAATTCATTAATAAAATCCTCAGAATAAATTTTTATAAATAATAAAATATTATGATACATCCAATCCTCCAATACTATATAACTCGGGAATCCATACTATGTCGACCCCTAGAAAATCCCAACAGAACAAGTGATAATAATAACTGTCTACATCAGAACATTGACACATAAAGGAAACTCCTATGTAGATAATCTGGAAGAGTGAAGAAGACTGATCCCTGCTCAACACGAACAACCTTTACTCCTGACGAACACCTGAAAAATAATGGTGGGTCATGCCCATAAACAAGTTCTACTCTACTACAGTACAAGCAGAGATCCAATACACGTATACATCCTAGTTAATCCAACAATAACTAATATAGTCCATATATATATATATATATATATATATATATATATATATATATACGCATACTAAGGAACCTCACTGGACTATAGGGTGACCTCAACCTGAATAATAGGCAACATGCAAAACGCACAAATAGTGGGCATGAGTACCTAGACCTACCAGGGCACATAATGAACCACTATATCCAGCTACACATCCTTGGCAATATACGCACCCTAACCATGATCCTGAGACTTAAGCTCATATCATGGCATCATAGTCATATATATAAAATCCATTCTATCCAACTACAAGTAATCCTCTATAAATAATCCTCTATAAGCCATTCAACTTGTTCAGCTGACCTGACTTGAATATAGGTAGGACTTAACATTCTTTTGGTTAATCCGTCCCTTTACATAAAAATAGGTAGGACTTAACTGATAAGTTAATTCGTCCTTAGAATGCCACCATCCCATACTAGTGCATTACATCCATACAATCCAATTATTGATGAAAGAAATAAAACAATGCATCAATATATCTGGGAATAAGCATAATAATAATCAGATATAAAGAATCATATTATGCAACCAACACAAGATTAAAATCATATAACATCCATATTAATTGCTAAGTTATTTTTAAGCAATTAAATCCTTCATTCCATCCAATAATTGATGAAGAAATAAAACAATACATCAATTAATCCAGAGATAAGTATAATTAAAATCAGATAGTTAACCGAGCATATTATACTGCTAATACATGATTAAAATCATGCAACATCCATTTAAATTGCTATAATAATTTTCAGCAATTAAAACATCCAATAACAACATGTAAATTTAATTAAAATTTCATATTGTTCAAATCCTTAGCACATTAATATAGATTATGCATTGTGGGTATTTAACATGTACATCGTAGTCATTTAAAATCCTTATTACAATCTAAGCAACCTTAGAAAATCCCAAAATCCAAAACAGAACCAAAAATACACTTTCTGCAGTGTTCCAGCAAGAGAGCATGCTCCCTTCTAAAAGGGGCATGCTCTGTCCAAAAGGAGCCGCCTCCATTCTCAATGGAGTATGCTCTATCCAAAAGGAGCCGCCTTCATTCTTAATGGAGCTGCATCCACTTTGAATGGAGCCGCCTCCATTCCTGCTACTCTTCGTCTTCTTCATCTTCGATGTCGTCTGATCATTCCGACAATCTTTCTGAAGGTTCCTAACCTTCTATTCTAAGTACTAGATGATCCCAATTAATTTTACAAAGTTCTTATGCATCTTTTACACCAATTAAAACAAGATTCAAGCAAGGAATTTCAAAATTAAGCAAGTATGAATATAAACACATAAATTCTGTTTTAATTCTGATTAAGCATGCATACATGGTTAATTTATTATCTGATTAGTTCTGGAATTAACCTAGGCATGTATAGAACAAGAAATCTAATGGAAAGAGTAAAATAAGAACTTGCCTCTAGGTTTCGGATTGAAACCTTAACTTCTTCTTCCTAGCTTTTTTGGCGATTGTGGCTGCCGTCATAGCTCTCTGCTATACCGTCCTAGCCCACGCAACCTCTCTTTCTTCTTCCTCTTGGTCTGGCCTCAACCTTAGGCCGAGCCTCTCCTTTCTTCTCTCACGGTTTCTCTCTCTCTCTAGAATACCACGGAATATCATATATGCCTTCATAGACTTATGCTTATATATATATAGATAACATATAACCTTAATCCTTGTCTAACCCTAAGTCTGCTTATAAAGAAAAAGAGAAATAAATAAAACAACGAAATAATAATACTACCTTATAATATTACGTATCCACATATATATGTATCAAGTGGTGGTGTAATTCAATTGAGCATCAGATAGAGTTTTGCTAGCATAATAAATAACATGTGATAACTTGTCCACACACTGGGCCAAAACCGCACCCAATGCATGATCGGATGCATCACGCATGATATCAAATGGAAGAGACTAGTTAGGCGGTTTCATAATTGGGTCAAAAGAGAGAAGAGTACGGAGCTTCTTGAAAGCTTCCAAACAAGCTTCATCAAAATTGAAGGGAATATCCTTAGCAAGAAGATTACACTAGGGCTGGGATATTTTACTAAAATCTTTGATGAAACAGCGATAAAAGCCGGCATGACCAAGGAAGGAACGGATTTGTCGGACAGAATTTGGAGGAGGAAGATAAAAGATTAATTCGACTTTGGCCTTGTCAACCTCAATTCCCCTTTTTGAAATAACAAGCCCTAAGACAATGCCTTATTGGACTATAAAATGACTCTTTTCCCAACTTAGAATAAGATTTATCTCCTTGCATCTTTGAAGCACAAGGGATAGATTTTGGAGACATGAGTCAAAGGAAGACCCAAAGACGGAGAAATTGTCCATGAATACTTCCAGAAACTTTTCAACCATATCGGAAAATATGGACATCATGCACCTTTGGAAAGTTGCCGGTGCATTGCATAGCCCAAAGAGCATGCGTCTATAGGCAAATGTTCCAAGGGACACATGAATGTGGTTTTCTCTTGATTTTGTAGATCAGTTGCCATTTGGTTATAGCCGGAATAACCATCAAGAAAACAGTAGTAGCTTTGGCCGGCTAGCCTTTCTAGGATTTGATCAATGAATGGAAGTGGAAAATGATCCTTCTTAGTGGTGGAGTTGAGTTTCCAGTAGTCAATGCACACACACCACCCGGTGGTTGTGCGTTGTGGCACGAGCTCTCCCGCTGAATTTTCAACAACGGTGAAGCCAGATTTCTTGGGAACAACTTGAGTGGGGCTAACCCGCTTACTATAAGAGATGGGTAAATGATTCCCACATCTAGTAGCTTGATCACTTCTTTCATGTTTGGATTCAACCGGCGCTGTACCTTTTTAGAAGTTTTTGCGTCGTCCTCCATATGAATGCGATGTTGATAAGCGCCAAATATTGCATATTCAAGCGCCCTTATTTGCATTAGTTAAGTCCATTAGTTTATAATAATGTATAGTTTAGCTTTATTTGTTTGTTTTCATTTATTTTCAGGTCGGTTCCCCCGAATATAGCTAAAGGAACGGTTTTGACAATCTTTTGAAGAATCAAAGTAAGCCGTTGCTAGGGACTGTTATTTGAGCCAAGTTCCTTGAGCCATCATGTGTATGAATGTTGTGGCATTACATTCAAAATGACGACCGCATCACTTGACCAACCAACGAGGCTAAAGAGAAGGCTGAGAGCTTTTGGAAGTCAAGGCTCCGTGGGGCCCGCTGCGCCACCGCGGGCGCCCGCCATTTACTCTAGTGTGTTGCATTCATCCGCGGGGCCCCGCGCTTCCTCACGGGCCCCGCCGCCAGTTCCGCGGGCTCTTGCCAGTTCCGCTGTGCCACCGCGTGCGCCCGCCGTTTTGTCCAGAGACCACTTCCGCAGATGCAAGCACCCGTGGGCGCCCGTCGATCTGCAGAGAGCAGCTTACCT